TGACATAAAAGAAAATTTTTTCAAAAATTCTATTTGTCAAAAAATTTTGACATTTGTTTTTTTGCCATTTCACATTTTTTATGTCTATTTAATGTTACCGATGATCTTGCACATAATTATTCAATAAAAGTACAAAAACCTTCCAATAAAAGCCACAAATAACGTTAAGCTTAGATACAATTCAGGATACAGCTTCTTTGTTTCTTCTTCTAATACTCGTAGCAGCAATAAAACATGGAAAATTGTTTTCCCAACAGAAATATTGAAATAAACAGGGCTAAAGTGTAATTATTTCCAAATTATAGATAGAATTTTTTTAACATTTTTCCCTTGTTCCTGGTATCTTAACTTACGTCGTATTTTTCTCTAGGGTGAGACTTCTGAAACAGCCTCTATATGATTTTCCTCCTTCATTCCAAATAAGAAATAAATAAATCCAAGTTAATTAATCTTCAAATAAGATCAGTTTTACGTCTGTATAACGACCTAGTCAGTAAACATACACAACTTTTTGGCGCCAAAATTGACATTTATTCACCAAATAATAAAACCGTCCTTGACAAATGCGTTACGGTCAACCGTCCAACCACGTGACACATAAAAACACTTTAATTTCCCCATTTTTCTATAATAAATCGTTCGCCGGAAATTACATCACGTAAGTTTTTCTCCCACAATAATCCGGTTTCCAATCGAATAAATCACTCTGCAGACCCTTTTACGACCGTTCCTGTCTTAAAATATTTTCTTCAACATTTGAAATTCATAGGGTCGTATAATTTCCATTCTTATGGAAAAAACAGAAATTCAACTTTGTATTTTGTCCTTGAAAAAAGCAAAATTCGACAAGAGCTAAACGGGAGAGTGCAATGTACGATCAATGGATTGGAAATCTATCGTGGTCGTGGATGATTTCGCGATCATCCTCCTGCTCTTTCTTAACACCTACGATCTTTGTGTTATTCGATTCAAATCGATAGTTTTTATTACATGCGAAATCAATCGCAAATTGTAATGGATACGTCGTCGTGACCGACCTTGTCATTACCGTTCCTTTTTTTCTTGCAGTATTGCAGTAATTGCGGTAATTACTTTTCACGTGCTCCACTCGCTGGATCTTGGAATTTATGCATATGTGCGTATGAGGAAATGAAAACGAGTTCTACTTTGGTGGAAAATGACTAAAATTTTTCAATCTGTATAATATTAGATATAAAGTGTACAAGTAACGTAAAATAATGATTTACTTTTCATTCAGACAATATTCAGATAATACTTTATTTGAAAAGAAATCCATGCAGCTTAAGTTCTCCAATAATAAATTACAATATAAACAAATTATTATAATAACACCAGCAAATTTATATACCTTCTGTACAAAAAGTACCGGGAAATAAATATTAGAGAGTTTTTGCAAATCGTTTAGTTTAACGTTAACCTTAACGACAACGTCATTTAATTATCGTGTGTACATCTTTCAAGAGCGAAAGGCGTACCTATTCCGTCAATTCAAAGACGTTTACGTAAACGTCTTATTTTTTGATTTCTTAGCAAACGGCCATTTGTCGTCATACGTCAAACTTTTTACGGTTTGCAGAAACTCTCTATTAAATAAAATAGATATTGATCAATTTTTATTTGATTTCTTTCAAACTAAACTCCATCTGAAGCGACACGCATATATAATACCAACATTTAACTCAATCATCAAAACACTTCTCATAAACAGCAGAAGGTATTGCTTTCAGTTCTTTCCGCGAATTTTGTTTTGTCTTTTATGGACTCAAAACGTCCTTTTCGCGAGCCAATTTAAGTTTAAGAAACGGTAAAATGTTACATATTAGCTGAATGCGGTGCCTGATTGATGACATTTTTTGAATTTTTGGCCAAAAATTTGTGCAGTATGGACGCTGTGTGTGCAGGCGCACTGTCATGGTGCAAAATCTCAGAGTTGTCTTTCCACAAATATGGCCTTTTCCAGCAAATATTGTTTACAAACATTTCACAACGGCTAAATAATATTCCTCTTAAACTTAAGTGACGATTTAGTCATCATTTCTTTGATTTTCTTTACATTTTCCTCCGTTTGTCGGTGACTTTCTTCGGCCCAATTGAAATGTTTTGTACCACTCATATGCTTGTGTTTTTGACATACATGAGACCTCAAAGGTTTTTTGGAACATTTTCAGAGATTCACTACACGAATTTTTCGTTGACAACACAAAATTTCAAGAGAATTCTCTGATCGGTAATGGAATCCATGACAAAAATCGCAAGTCTGACTTAACCACAAGTTATGGTAAAAACAATTTTAAACAAACCACTTGACCTATACCAAGAATTATTAAGATATCTTCTACGTGAACTCTTTAAATCGAAAATTCCCGATACTTTTTTTACAGAGTAGTACATACTTATGTACGAGTATAGTTTTCCTCGTGTCTTAACAATTTAAGTTTTTTTTTTTTTTTAAATCATGAATTAAATTAAATTACGAGTATGAATAAGCACAACACACAATACGAATTAATCTTACCCAACATGGTCGCAGTTTTCTATGAGTCAAATGCACAACTCACCTGTAACAGAAAAAATAAAGGTAAATAAATGTACGATTTAAATTCAAATAAAAAAGTAAAAAAGTCTAATATAACTACAACCTACATGTACATATGTATGAAGAAATAAAATTTGAGTTTCTTGGCAACCGGTGAAAACGTTAAAACATTTCTTTTTTGTTTACTCATTTCCTTCGTAACTGTGTAAAGATATTATGTAAGTCATAGATACAATTTACAATTTTCACCCCAGCCTGTAAACTTCCAATATTAATATTTGTCAATCAATTATTAATTGCATAAAAAAAGTAATCAACTTCACCAACAGACGATTTTTTCCTTGGCATTATCTACAGAAACCGATCTGACCGAACCAGACATAACATAAACCAAAATAAAAGCAGTAAAAATAACCGAATTCTTATAAATAGTGGATTCGAACAATCAACATCAGGAAATCAATCTTTTCCTTTATCTTACAGACAGCAAAAATATAAAATGTGATTTCAAAATGAAATGCGATTTCGGAACAACAAGGCCATCATTTCGTTAAATTCACATCTAATCACGGCTCATGTGTGCTCCGCTTTAGAATATCTATTTCTGTCACTTTAGCTGACCGCCGTCTGTGTATGCAGTAAAAAAGATGACATAACAAACACACACATCTGCAGAGGATGGATCTAAAATAATCAGAAGCACCTGCGATATTTGCGCCGGGATTATTTTAGGGATCGGCGGGAACGAAGTTGTTCGCCACCTGTCGGTTAAAAAAATTTTCTTTCTTTTAACGTAATCGCCACAATAGTCAATAGTCGGCGGAATCTTAGTCTACCAAGAAAGTGGAGGGACATGAAGTAAAATAAAACGGCAAAGTATTAAATATTAATTGCGTTTCGATGACCGGAGATTTTTGGCACGCGAAATCAACCAATGGACAGATGTAGCGTAACTGGCACAGGTGTTGGAAAGGATTTAGAAGTAAGGAAGTCGTAATTTTATATATAACGATTTAAGAGTTTTTGAAGTATCTTCAAAGTGTTTTAGAAGTTGCAAAGAAAAAGTAAACATTGAAAAAAATTGCCATTACAAAGCGACGATTTGTGGCCTAGGTCTAATACGCTGTATTCCTAATTGAACACAAAATAATAAGGAGGAAATATCTGTAGATAAACGAATTGTACAAGAAATTAACCGCTGAATCACTCAAAGCCAGAATTAATTCGGAATAATTGTGTTGTTTGTTACTTCATAATTTGACTGTTGAAAAATAAATCAATACAAAAAATTAACTAATTTTATTATTATTATTATTATTCCTCCCTGTTTTTTTATGACACTATCTTTTCCTCCATCTCTGTAAGACTTTTCCTCCCAAACTCCCACGTCCTCCGCACTCCGAACTGGTTTTTTTCTCTTCTCGACTAATTTAAATTTATATTATAGTTCACTTTTTACATACATCCGTTTTCAAATTTCAACTGTTTTGCATAAACGTTTGGAGCCAATTATTATAATTACATGGTGAAATAGACCGAGATTAGGACCATACACTACTAGTCTTGATGGAAAAAGAAGCAAAACAGGTGGGCAGACCATTTCGAGTGACCATAACCGACCCACTGGACTCGAATCTCGTATGCAGAAAATAAATGAATAACTTGTAATAATAACACGTTACCAATTCAGGTTAGGCTCGTTTATGCAAATTTCCGCGAACTGTGTGTTTCAGGTGGCAATGTTTGATTTATGATAATGGATGTTTGGGGATGTTTTGGAACGATTTCAAGTTACTGAGAAAATATAATTAGCTCAAAGACGCAAGAACGCTCGTTAACCCCTAATTCAATTAGGTTGGGCAAAGATTAACATTTACAGTGTTTTGCTTAGACAAATTCATTGTAACATCAACTCTTATTCAGATAAAAATACGTCCTTGTCCTAAAGTAGACAGATTTATCTTTTCATTGTTCCAATTTTCTAATTAGATTATCTGTAACTTTTCCATATCTCTCGATATTTTTGGGTACTTTGTTCTAAGTGAAATGAGTATGTATTGGCACTATCACGTCCAATTTCAAGAATATTTCTTCCACAAATGTCCGCGCGTACAAAAACCTGCTCGGTCCCAGCGATCCCTTTTTCGATTAATCGAATCGTGAGTTTCTTGTGGCATCGGTCACGGTTAAACAGACACTCTGAAAGGCGCCACAGGTATGCGTGGACCGGCCATAACGAATTCAGCGCGTCTGAAAAACAGATTGTCCCGAGATACATATACAATATAGAAGAATAAACGGGGTGCATAACATCGCAGACAAACGGAATCTTGATACAGAGAAAACGAGTCGAGAACGAGAAACTTTTTTCTTTCCTCTCAAAATATAACGACATTCGAACTTCTAAAGATCATCATTTCGTTTTTAATTTATATTTTTTCATTTGTTCCGTCTCGTTTTTATTGTGTTATTTCCTTGGGTTGATAGGTGATGCCTTCGTACTTAATTAAGTGTCAGGACTACAAATGATTTAGGTTTGTACCCCGTGGTTCCGTTCGGGTGTGAGAGACAACACGTTTTGTTGTTCCTTGTCGAAACGACCTTCGCACGAGAGCGGCACACGATTTTTCACGGTCTAGCGCCAAAAGGGTTCAATTTTCTTAGACTGTGCGTCTGTACCAACACCGACTAATTTTAGTACAGCTTTTTGGCAATTATTACACGATTTGAAATGTTAATGAAGATGCCAAGGCTGCTTTAATCAGCACATCAAAGCAGATCATTCATCTCTTCATTCCTCACACAATTAAAAATGATGAAAAAGACAAAATAATGTAACATCAACCAATTCTCAATCCACACAAGTTAAAGTTAAAATATCTGCAAATTTAATTTTTTTTTTCATAGTAAACAAACTTGGAACGTGACAATTGCACATTTTGCATAAAATTAAAAATATACAGTGGGAGACCGGTCGTCTGATCGTGTGATCTCAGTAGGTCGTGCTCTACATCAAGTGAAACCTTCAATTCGTACCGTTTTGTTTTCTGGTCCTCATGTTCCTGTTCTTCCTTTTTGTCATTATCCAACGTTCCCATTCACGTGTAATTAATTAATCCTAAATATCACAGACATATTTGTATGGTTAAATAAAATTCCGCGTGGGTGTTATTACGTAAACGTCAATTACGTTAACTGCACAAAAAAACTATGTCTTTAAATCAATCCAAAATCACATCATCCTCATTATCACAAACGATACACTTAATCATCATCATCATCATGATGTTAGTTGGCGCGCATACACACATCGTCTTTCGGACGAACGTTGAATGTACGCTCCGCACTCCATCGTGTATACACACATAACTGAGGTCTCCGTCCACAGATTACAGGTTGTTATAGCAAGGCTTTGAAAAAAGCAAGCGAGTAGCAGTCAACGTTTGACTCAGACACTTTAGTGGGGATGACTATTGTTACTGCTGCTGCGGTGCACCGCCTCCAAATCGCCCTCCCCGCCCAAACTACTACAAGAGATGAATCTCGAAAAGTCACCGAACAGCATGTTCGACATGCGGGACGTTTAATTTGGTGACACCGTCGGCGAGATAGTCGACACTAAATATAGGACGTGCGACCGATTTCGGAACGCGCGCGAAGGAAAATAAACCGTTCTTTATACGACACTAAAACTACGAAAATATTACCAGAGATAATATGATGGCTTGTAATTGCCTTCAGTCTAATTAAAACCCAGAATTTACGGTTCCGAGATACTAAGACGTATCTAACGCTATGTCAACCTATAATCAACCAATATGTGGTTTTTTATTGCTTGACAGTCATAACCGATACGTGTTTTCCAAGTTTTAATCATAATAATCGTTATCACAGAAAACCATCAGCACCAAATTAACCAATTATTATCAACGACGTGAACTTAAGGTGCTAAAACAACGTAATTTCAACCACTTCTTGACCATCCAATTTCTGTACGAATTAAAAGATACAAACAAATATGAAATCAGTATTCGAAACATCAAAATTTTACTCCTTTCTCTTTTTCCTCTCATTTTAAATTTTCCTCCTCGTCCCTTAATCCACATATTTATCGATTTCCGTTTAAATTGGGGCAACCTATACTAATATTTACCATTTTATCTTTAGAAAATATAAACAATTGTTTTGCGCAAAAGTAAAAACGTAATACAATATTCGAGATTAGAAAAGTAAGAAAGCAGGAGAGCGTGTACAACCCTTTTTACATTCCTTCGTCTCTTAAATCATTTGTCACCTACTCACTACATTCACTATAATCACAGCTGTGCTTTCCTTTTGTCGACATTCAATTGTTGCACAGGTGTCTCACTTACCGGCCATTTTGTCTTACACATACACTCTGTATATTTGAATCAATGGATAAACAAAGGAAATTGTTTTAGAATCATGCATCGATTTCATTATCGTTTATTCCTATAATGGGCAATGTCGCAACGTAGTATTTCCTGTGACCAATGACGTTTAAATATTGTACAATTATTTTAAAGGTAAATATTGTTAGAACAAAAGTGTTTTATCAATTTTCTTATTTTACAGTTGTAATTATCGATAATTTTAAAACTAAAGGAAAAATCAATGTTTTAATAACGATAAGATTAGAAAATACTAATAAATACTTAATTAACTCCGGATAACGTTTAACAAATAAAAATTAAAACACAATAAGGTATTTAATCTAGTGATAACTTAAACTTGGACATAACAAAAAAAAACACAAAGCGATCACTCATCATTATTACAATCGCTATTATTACCAGTGATGGGAATAAATGTCAACTTTATGAAAAACCTCCATAAATAATGTTATTACCCCTGAATCCGGTCCGTTATAAATCAAGTCCCAACATTTTTTGGCTACAACAAAGAGAACACCACAAAAGAACATCTGGGCATCCCACATAACACCTTACGAAGATTCCGAATCGTACGAATCTGACCCTTAGTTTCACCCACCGTAGGAGTCTTGATGGTGCTTGTCGTACCGAACACTTTGTTAGTAGTTTAGTGTTGGACCCACTGTGAAAATCCATAAGTTATTGCTTGTCCGACAGCGAAGAAAAGTTTTGATATCACGCTTCGCTTCGTAATCGGATTTGGGTGCGGGGGATTTTACGAATCGTAATTTGGTACCCATTATTCCGCGAGATGAATCATTTCCATTTGGCGAGGAGTTCTCGCTAAGTCGACCATCAATCCTAATTGAATTCATTATGACTGGAGTTCTGGGATTCTAGATATACAATGGCATTTTTATGAGTTTTGTTGTGGTCGGTACGATTTTTGTCGTAGTACTGAGTTTCCGAGAACCATACCAGGTATTTACACAAGCTTGACATATTTTTTTTTCAGAAAACGGAAACATTTGGTCTAACATCAAGTACCAGAAACGAATTCTTGGAATCGTAAAATACTAAATGTAACAAAAAGTACTAAACCAGATACAACCTTTTGTTTCTTATTTGCTCGAATGGTCATTACGAGAGTCGTAAAATTTTCAATAGAATGGTAATATTTATAGTACTTAACATGGAAATGCTAAATTGTACATTACGCCCATGTACCAAGAAAACCATTTACGAAACAAACACACTGTTTGCTTTTGCTACTTCTTGTTTTGCGTTTTTTGATTTCATAAATCCAACAACCTGTTTTGCTTAGTTTACATTAAACTACTTTTTTTTATTCGTTGCCATACAGTTTGGATCTTTATGGGTAAAAATATCTATTTTTATTAGTTTTAAAATTTTCTACACAGGAATTTATACAAATAAAAAAGTACCAATAAAAATCGGAATCTCCATTTCAGTAGTTTTACATAACAGAGGCATTCTGATGCACCTGAATTCAACATTTTGAATTGCAAATTCAAATGAAATGCTTCTGTTTCTTAAAGCTCACCAATGTTTTCCAAAGAAAATATGTAATAATAAATCGTAAGTAATATCCATTATATGTAGTATATACTAATGCAAATACAGAGAATGTACACCAAAACTACACCTACTTTCTTAGTATTTTCTTTTTAGATAAATCATTCGTGTAAAATAATCTGATTTAGTATTTTTCCCATTTACATTAATCGTACATCACATCTAAAAAATATATTTGAGTTCAAATATGTACAATTTTGAAATAAGTCAAAAAACCACATAAATTTTTATCTAGCAACAACTTATGACTTATTTCAAAATTATTCATACAAGTAAAAAAGATAAATATTTTTTTACAGTTTTATATATTACCACTCCTTATCTAGACCAAAAGTTGTTTTCATCAAAGAAATAAAAATTGTTCGAATTTTTATTACTTGTTCCTTTGCCACTAGCTTTTTATGGAAACCTCGTAATAAGTAACTTGAGCCTATCTTGGTCACTAAAAGGATAAAAATTCTCAAATCGTATTTTATTTTAATTAATTACACCGCTATTCCGCAAGTCTGTTGTTTAGTTACGATCCTTTGCTACTTCAATCGAATAAAAATAAAACACAAGATATGTTGAACAAATTTTTAGTTTTTTTTATAAAGCTGGCACATTTGCGAAAAAATGGCAATCCTAGCCATTAATAATCCCTTCTACTCGCCTAAATAAAGCACGGAAGTCATTAATCTCAATTCGTCATAATATCAGAAGAGCAGTTGGTCAGGTTTATTAATAACCATTCAACTTCACTCATTAAATGTTTTATTTTCAATCCATATACAACAAGTAGCAAAACAATCGAAAGCGCTAAATCGCAGGTGTCTCCTCTTTCTTTGCAAGATAACAGCCGCTTTTGATGTACTACCGACTCCAAACTTGGCGAAAATATTCGCAACCACAAGGGCAAAAAGACGCTGGAGTCGTAATTCAAACTGCTCGCTTTGGTACGAAACGACGTTCACACAGACACACATACTCTTTATATAGAAAACGGCGAGAATTTACATTCTTCGACTATGTTGAGAAGAGGATTTTTCTTCCGTAAAAGATCGTAGGTAGATGGAAGTCCGGTGGTCGTCTGCTAGTCGTGAAAAGTAGTCGCTTTGACGCACCAGTATGACACTTCCGAACTGCAGGAAAAACTTAATTAGGCAGGAAGATATGCGCCAGACATTACGGGAAATGCGGAGTCGCACGACTATCTCAAATTAAAACTTAAATAAATCAATTAAATTAATAAGTGGTGCCATTGGAATAAGGTCTGGGTGAGTTTCACGTCATTTGTTAATTGATAACGGAGTCGTGAAATTATCCAGGGTTTAGGTTATTAAGCGATTATTCGCAATTAGAGAAGGCGCCTGAAAAGCGTGTTTTATAATACGTTAGTTAAGAAAATTATTGTTGAAGAAAAATTCTTCAATATAAAAAAAAACAGAAAAAAAATAAGACCTAGCCTCACGTAGCGTAATATGTATATACATATTTTAAGTATAGGTGGACTAAAGACTGATGTTGGAAAAATAATTCTACCTGTTTTTTTGCTGCAGGCTATTAGAAGAAGAAACAAAGAAGCCTTATCGTGAATTGTAACTATGTTTAACGTTATTTGTCGCTAATTTTGAGTACCCTTACTAAATAATTATGAAAAAACATATACAACATGATCGGTATCATTAAATAAACAAAAAAGTTAAATAGTTAAATTAGTTAAATATCGAAAAATAAATGTCAAATTTTTTTACAGATAGAATTTTTTAATAGAACATTACAAACGAGGTGGTAAATATGGCATTACCCCGAGAGCTTATGTATACGTTCGAGAGGTGCCACACTCGAGATCGGATAAAGCACAAGAGGTAACGCCATTACCACCGAGGTTAGTATGCTATTTTATTCACAATCACATTATTTTTAGTCAAAAATTTGAATAAAATAAAATTCTAACCAAGTTAAGGTCCAATCGTGGTAAGCCATCTAAATTGCTTTGATTTCAAAAATGTGAAAAAAAATATTGAAATAATGTGAGATTCTGATATTAAAATTGTTGAAATAGATTAGTGCGCTCCCCCAGAAGTCAGAAAAACTGCTACAGAAGCAATTGAATACTAATTTAGCAAAATATTATGCGTAACTTAACAATTTGAAAGAAAAAATTCCCGCTATTATTGTAATCTTAACGTTGGCAATATTACTCCTCATGAGACATAATGACGTGTTTCCCTTGCCTTAAGAACGTCCTCGTTAAACACGTCTAGGTCTTTTAGTTTTTGCTTGAAAAAATAAAAACGAAAACTACAAATTTCCGTTTTTTTCCAATAATTCAAAACTAAAAATGACACATTGAATTTTCTTTCAGAGATTTGTTTAGCATAAAATTGCTAACTTGGCCCTAATTCAA